AGAGAGAGAGAGAGAGAGAGAGAGAGAGAGAGAGAGAGAGAGAGAGAGAGAGAGAGAGAGAGAGAGAGAGAGATCACTTCCGCAGATCGACACGTGGCATCGACGTACTGCTTTCTATGTTGAATTCATAGCTGAGATAGAGTTGATTACCTACTAGAGATTATAGAAAGGCTGCACGGGAGGCTAATCCTTCTCTTTGGAGAAGTAATCAATGGCTCTCTCCCCAGCCCTAGGACGTATTGCTTGCAGAGTGTGGATATCTTCATTGCTGTATTTATCATATACTTATGGGACGCTAGACCCGGTTCCCAGCAGGTGCAGCTTCCTGCCTGCAGGTCGGGAGCAGCCCCCGCATGTTCTCTCGTGAACAGGGTTTTGGCTGCTACGGCTGCTACGGGGTTCCCCGTATGCCTACAACAATTAGCAGTAGTGGTAGGTAGGTAGTGTGAGGTGAAATTGAGAGAAGAATATAGCTTTACAGAAAAAAAACTTAAAAAAAGGGAAAAGTCATAAAACCTCCCCGCGACGGAACCTTTGTATCCATTTCCCCCCAAACGGGGAAAAAAGTGCTGGAGGTCCCAAAATCACTTTTGGCGTCATTTTTGCACCCTGGCTGGGCTGGTAACGGCCGTTTGCAGGGTGCAAAAATGACGCTGAAAGTGATTTTGGGGCCTGCAGCACCTTTTTCCCCGTTTGGGCGGAAATGGATACAAATGTTTCGTCGCAGGGGGGGTTTATGACTTTTCCCAAGAAAAAAGATGTATTTTTGCAACGAAATGAAAGATATAATTTTGCAACGAAATCTGGGGGCCGCCACTATTTTTTGCTGTTTTTTGCAATTTACCCTTTCCAGAGCAGCACCGATAAAAAACTGATCGGCAGAGCCTCAGCCAATTTTGGCGACCCGCCGACAACAAGAAAGATGGACAGCGAAGGATTATGGAGCGAAGGAGGAGGAGGAAGAAGAGGAGGAAGGAGAAGAGGAGGAAGAATTATGGAGCGGAGGAGGAGGAGGAAGAAGAGGAGGAAGAAGAGGAGGAAGAAGAGGAGGAGGAGGAGGAAGAAGAAGAAGAAGAAGAAGAAGAAGAAGAAGAAGAAAAAGAAGAAGAAGAAGAACCTGCCGCGTATATTGTTTTTCGGGAACAGTCATAAAACCTCCCAGCGACGAAACCATTGTATCCATTTTCCCCCAAATGAGAAAGATGGACAGCGAAGGATTATGGAGAGGAGGAGGAGGAGGAGGAGGAGGAGGAAGAAGAAGAAGAAGAAGAAGAAGAAGAAGAAGAAGAAGAAGAAGAAGAACGTGCCGCGTATATTATTTTTCGGGAAGTGTGATAAAACCTCCCAGCGACGAAACCTTTGTAGCCATCTCCGCCCAAACGAGAAAAAATGTGCCGCAGGTCCGAAAAACACTTTTGGAGTCATTTTTGGATCCTGACTGGGCCGGTAACGGCCGCGGTGTAAAAATGGCGGGAAAGTGTTTTGCAGGGTGCAAAAACGATGCGAAAAGTGATTTTCGGACCTGCGGCACTTTTTTTGTCGCTTGGGGAAAATGGATACAAAGGTTTCGTCGCGGGGAGGTTTTATGACTTTTCCCTTATTTTTCTTGTTGCTGTTATATTTATTATTTTTGTTTTCAGTGTTGCCTTTCGTCTCCTTGGTCATCTCACAGCAGTCCCTGGCATGTCGCTGCAGGTGGAGGACGTCCACGTCGTACTAGACGTGGCAGGTTTGAGAGATCTGTCTGCAAGTTCTCACTCACTGACATTGTCAAGTGTTGAGATCCGCGGGACCTATTACTAGGCGGTTGCAATCTTCAGAGCTACAGGATGGCGACACGTGGCCATGATCGACTGGTATTCCACTTTGTTGTCTTGGCCTGCTTGTTGATGATCTGGTCGGAGAGGCCGTCAAGTTTTGCCTCCGCCTCGGGAAGGCACCTAAGGTTCTCTGCTTCTGGATGGAATAAAGAGGGTGACAATGACCCTTCAAGGTGGATGCAAGAGGGGGAAGCCATGCCGGGCTCTCAGTGTTCTGTCGATTTCAAGAGTCTGGATTTCTCCACCCTGCGAGATATGTGTCCCCCTTCAGAGACGGTAGATATCACATGCTGCCTGCCTCTGGCACGGATAGTCAGCGGCTTACCTCTTGATCCGTCTATAATGTCAGAGACGTGCAGAAATGACTTCTTCCAGGCCCTCAGCGAGGCCGGGTTCGATCCCAACCAGCTGCTAGGCGTCTGCATGCCTCATCTGGCTCCGTTGGTGCAGACAGGCAAGGCCTTCTCCACTAAATCCCTCCCTAGCCTACCCATTGCGGGAGGGGTCTCTGCGACCCAAGTGGCTAACACTGCCGCGAAGGCATACGCCAAACTGGTCAACCCAGCTGAAGGGTCCTTAGAGACCGAAGGAGGGGGTGGGAGTGGGTCAGATGTGGTCAGTGTACTTCGTAAAACTGCCAAGAAGGCGTACACCAAACTTGGAAACACAGCTCCAGCGTCCTTAGACATCATCGCAGGACTCCGAGGGAGTGAGGGTGGTCCTGATGTGGTTGGGCGACTTGGCAAAATTGTCAAGAAGGTCTACACCGCACTGGGAAGCACAGCTCTAGCGTCGTCGTCGTTAAACATCGAAGGAGGGAGTCACAGTGGCTCATCAGATGTGGCGGTCTCCTCCTCCGAGTCTGGACAACAAGTCGATGGGGGCGAGAGCTCCTTGGAACAAGGACTTGTCTCGAGTGAAGCCTCCCCCTTTATCGGATCTCATGAGGGGTCTGAGCTTTCACAAACCGCCCCCCTTAGCTCTAGTTACGATGAAGCGGCCCTATCGAGCCTGTACGAGGACGTCTTGCAAGCGTCCTTGGGGAGTTTTGCTAGCGACTATATAGCTTCATCCGAATCGAGTCAAGGAGGGGACAGCAAGGACGGCGACTTGGCGAGTGGTTCGGGTACCCTTTATGCGCCTTCATCCCAGTCAGGACAACATGGAGGCAGCGAGAAGAAGTCGACTGAAATGGGAGCCCCTGCAAGTGAAGCCCCCCTCTCGGGATCTCATGATTCTGAGTCGGACAAGTTGAAACCTCTCCCCAAATCAAGCGGTGAATCTGCCCCATCCAGTTCTCCTTCGTCTGCATCTGGACAGAATTCCAGTCCTCCTTCGTCTGCATCGGGACAACATGGGGTCAGCGCAGAGAAGTCTACCAAGGGAGGAGCCCCTGCAAGTGAAGCCCCCCTCTCGGGGTCTGATGATTCTGAGTCGGACAAGTCGAAACCCCTCCCCAAACCAAGTGATAAACCTGCTGCATCCGAACCAAGTCATACTGAGTCTGGCAACAATGCACCTTCCTCTGAGTCTGGAAAACAAGGGGACGGGAAGGGGACCCCGAGCAAAGGAGCGTCCGCAAGCCAAGCCCATGACTCAGTGTCTGCAGATGTGTCTGCCCCGTGAGAACCACCCTTCTCTATCTCAGGTGGTCAGGCCGCCTCCTGAAGTCTGTACCTTTAGACTTTTCCCCCCAGCCCCTCACCCTTTCTCTTGGTTGTCACTGCCTTTGTCTCTACTTCTCGCTGAGTCTGTTCCTTCATCATCATCTTTGCCCGAGGAATCCCTCCCACTCTCTCTTCTCCATCTCTCTCTCCCTCTCTTCTAGACTTTCCCCCCCAGCCCCTCGCCTTTTCTCTTGGTTGTCACTGCCTTTGTCTCTACTTCTCGCTGTGTCTGTCCCTTCATCATGATCTCTGCCTGAGGAATTCCTCCCACTCTCTCTTCTCCATCTCTCTCTCCCTCTCTTC